GTGCTACCGCTCCAGCCCCCAAAAGCTTTATTTTTATTTTGATGAAATATAATTTGTTAGATCGGAGAGATAGAGCAGGAGGAAAGGTGCTTGCCCTGCACACGGCTGGCCCGAGTTTGCTTCTCAACACCCCATATGGCCCCCCGATCCCCACCAGGAGTGATCTCTGAGAGCAGAGCCCTGAGAATCACCTGGGGTGGCCTCAAAAACAAACAAAACACCCAAGCAACAAAACCTCCGAACAAACTCTGTGTATATATAGCACTGCATTGTCCTCCCATTGTTCATCGATTTGCTCGAGCGGGCCCAGTAACGTCTCCATTGTGAGACTTGTTACTGTTTTTGGCATAGAGAATATGCCACAGGGAGCTTGCCAGGCTCTGCTGCGCGGGCGGGATACTCTTGGTAGCTTGCCAGGCTCTCCAAGAGGGGTGGAGGAATCGAACTGGGAATCGGCCGGATCGGCTGTGTGCAAGGCAAACGCCCTACCCGTTGTACTATTGCTCCTATATTATATATTTATATATAATATATAGTAAATATACCACATATTTACTATATATACAGTAAATATACTATATATAGTAAAACTCATAATAAAACCGGCGCTTTTTCTCCCCAAGAGCAGCAATAAAATATTATCTTGGTTTTTTTTTTTTTTTTTTTTTTTTTTGCTTTTTCGGTCGCGCCCGGCTATGCACAGGGGTTCCTCCTGGCTCATGCACTCAGGAATCACTCCTGGCGATGCTCGGGGGACCCTATGGGGATGCTGGGAATCGAATTCGGGTCGGCCGCATGCCAGGCAAACGCCCTACCCGCTGTGCTCCAGCCCCCTAAAATATTATCTTAAAGGACTAAATCAGCATATAGTAATTCAACCTTGTTTTTTGGTAGCTATTCTCTTCATTTTGGGAGGAGCGGGGTGTTGCTGAGAAGTGGACCAAGAACCGTTGGCAACGAGGTGAAGGCTTGACCACTGAGCCACACCCCTGGCCCCCCAGATAACTTTTTTTTTTTGCTTTTTGGGTCACACCCGGCAATGCACAGGGGTTCCTCCTGGCTCTGTGCCCAGGAATTACCCCTGGCGATGCTCAGGGGACCATATGGGATGCTGGGAATCGAACCCGGGTTGACTGCGTGCAAGGCAAATGCCCTATCCGCGGTGCTATTGCTCCAGCCCCCAGATAACTTCTTTTGTAAATTAAAAAAAAATTTTTTTGGCAGTGCTGGGATTGAACCTGGCACCTCACACATACCAAAGCAAATGCAAACTTTCTCCCTCCCTCCCTCCCTCCCTCTCTCCATCGCTCCTTCTCTTTTTTCCTCTCTCCTCCGCTCTCCTATCCCCAGTCCCTTTTGTTTCTTTACTGTAATTCTTGAGACAGAGACAAAGTCTCACTTGTGGGCGTGTGTGCTCCCTGGATTCAATCCCTGGCACAGATTGGCCCTGGCTTTTTTTTTTGGGGGGGGGGGTGGAGTGGTGGGAGGGGTGGGCAGTGGCCCAGGAGTAAAGTCAGAAGAAAAAGTATCTTCTGGAAAGAATCCTTTGTGGTAAAGATAAAACAGCCCCTGTTTAAGAAAGGAAGGGTTGGTTTCTGGCAGCCAGCCTGGGGCATTGCATCATCTTCCCCTCTGCAAGTGGGCTCCCGCCAGCACCACAGAAGGATCTGGAGGGTGTCCTCCTCCTTGGTGGCTGGGTGGAGGCCCCACAGCGCAGCGCCCTGGCCATGCAGCTGCAGTGGTGTTTTTGTTCTTTTGTTTTGTTTTGCTTTTTGGGTCACACCCGGTGATGCACAGGGGTTCCTCCTGGCTCTGCGCTCAGGAATGACTCCTGGCGGAGCTCGGGGGACCCTATGGGATGCTGGGGATCGAACCCGGGTCGGCCGCGTGCAAGGCAAACGCTCTCTGGCAGCAGTGGAGTTTGTGTTACTAGCAGCTAGAAGAGTGGATCTGAAGGCAGGGGATGGCGGGCAGGGAATTGAACCGGGACATTGAAAGTATATAGAAGAATCACAGAGGGGAGCAGGTTATTGATGGTTTATTACTGCTTCCCACTCTTTGGCTGGGCTGGAGTGATAGCACAGCAGTAGGGCGTTTGCCTTGCATGCAGCCAACATGGCCGACCCGAGTTCGATTCCTCCGCACCTCTCGGAGAGCCCGGCAAGCTACCGAGAGTATCTCGCCCGCACGGCAGAGCCTGGCAAGCTCCCCATGACGTATTCGATATGCCAGACACAGTAACAACAAAGTCTCCAGTGGAGATGTTACTGGGCCTGCTCGAGCAAATCGGGAGGACAGTGACAGTGACAGTGACTCTTCAGCTGCATGAGTAACTGGGGGGTAGGAGGGAGTGCAGGGGCTCAAACCAAGAGCACGCACGTATGAGGAATGCTCTCTGCCTTCCATCCCATCCCCAGCTGGATCTGAAACAGATTATTTTGGTTTTGGGGCCACACTCAGCGATGCTCAGGGCTTACCCCTGGCTCTGCGCTCAGTCAAGGATCACTCCCGGCAGTGCTTGGGGGGGGGGGGTGTCCTGTGGGGTGCTGAGGATCCGAACCTGATCAGCTGTGTGCACGATAAGCACTGTTACAAGCTGCTCTACTATTCAGCCCTGAAAAAGCTTTGAACCTGAGTCCTTTGTTCTTTCTTTTTGGTTTTTAATTTTAGTTTTTTTTGTTTTGTTTTTGTTTTTTTAAATTTTATTGAATCACCATGAGAAAGTTACAGACTTTTGTGTTTGGGTTACAATCACACAGTGATCAAACATCCATCCCTCCACCAGTGCACATTCCCCACCACCAATATCTCCAGTATACCCCCCCTTTCCACCCTCCCCCTGCCTCCATGGCAGACAATATTCCCCATAATCTCTCTCTACTTTTGGGCATTATGATTTGCAATACAGACCCTCAGAGGTTCCCATATATTTTTTGTTTGTTTGTTTGTTTGTTTTTTTGCTTTTTGGGTCACACCTGGCGATGCACAGGGGTTACTCCTGGCTCTGCACTCAGGAGTTACTCCTGGCGGTGCTCAGGGGACCATATGGGATGCTGACAATCGAACCCGGGTCGGCCCCATGCAAGGCAAACGCCCTACCCGCTGTGCTATCTCTCCAGCCCCAAGGTCACCATGTTTGATTCTTTATCCACTTTCTGCACACATCTCCCATCCCAACTGATTCCTCCAGCCATCTTTTTCTTAGCGATCCCTTCTCTATTCCAGCTGCCTTCTCCCCTTGGCTCATGAGTCAGGCTTCCAGCTATGGAGCAATCTATCTGTCCTGTGTATCTACTATCCTTAGGTGAACAGCCTCATGTTACGTTGTTTTATACTCCACAAATGAGCGCAGTCCTTCTATGTCTGTCCCTCTCTTTCTGACTCATGTCACTTAACATGATACTCTCCATGTCTGTCCACTTATAAGCAAAGTTCATAACTTCATCTCTCCTGACAGCTGCATAGTGTTCCATTGTGTAGATGTACCAAAGTTTCTTTATTTTATTTATTTTTTAAATTTTTATTAGTGAGACATCATGAGGTACAGTTGTAGACTTACAAATTTTTGTGCTTGGGTTTCAATTATACAATGATCAAATACCCATCCCTCCACCAGTGCCCATTTCCCACCACCACGGATCCCAGTATCCCTCCCACCCTCCATCCCCCCATCCCACCCTGCCTCTGTGGCAGGGTATTCCCTTTTGTTCGCTCTCTCTTATTGGGTGTTGTGGTTTGCTTTTAAAAGAGGCATTGAGTGGCAATCATGTTTGGTCTATAGTCTACTTTCAGCATGCTTCTCCCATCCTGGGAGGATCCTCCCAACACCCTTTATTTGGTGCTCCCTTCTCTATCTGAGCTCCCTTTTCCCCTAGCATGTGTGTCTGGCCTCCAAGCCATGGAGCAAGATTCCTGGTACTAATGTCGGCCATTCTTGGGTGTTAGTCTCCTATTTTGTTATTTTATGTTCCCCAGATGAATGCAATCTTTCTGTGTCTATCCCTTTCTTTCTGAGTCATTTCGCTTAACATGATACTTTCCATGTAGTACCACTTGTATGTAAATTTCATGACTTAGTCTTTTCTAACAGCTACATAGTACTCCATTGTGTAAATGTACCAAGGTTTCTTTAATCAGTCATCTGTTCTAGGGCACTTGGGCTGTTTCCAGATTTTGGCTATTGTTAACAGTGCTGCAATGAACATATAGGTACAGATGTCATTTCTGCTGTGCTTTTTTGCATCCTCAGGATATAGTCCCAGAAGTGGTATTGCTGGGTCATATGGAAGCTCAATTTCTAATTTTTGAAGGACTGTCCATATTGTTTTCCAGAAAGGCTGGTCTAGTGTGCACCTAGGTTACTCATAGGTTACTCCCAGCTCATTGCTTAGTCCCTGTGGTGCTCAGGCGACCATGTGTTGCCTGAGGCTGGACCCAGAACCTTCCATGTGCCGGGCATGTGCCCCAAAACTCAAGTTTTCTCCCTGCCCCTCCCCCCACACAACAGTTTCCGTTTTGATGAAGTTAAGTGTATCGGTCTGGTTGCTTATACTTTTCATATTCCATCGATATCTCACGTCAGAAGGATTTGCTTATTCTAAGAATTTTTTGAGTTTTAGCCATTGTCTAGGTCATTGATCCATTTTGAGTCCGTTTCTGTGCGTGATGTGAGAGAGAGGTCATTTGGCATGTGGACAACTCGTTGTCCAGCGTTCCTTGTTAAAGAGACTGTTCTTTCTTCCTTGAATGACCTTGGAACTCTGTCAAAAGTGACTTGGCCAGGGGCCAGCGGCACAAGTCAGGAGAAAAGGCACTTGATTTGCGTGTGGCCGCTTTGGCCCTGACCCTGGTTTGATCGCCAGCATTGCGTGCACGGCCAGGGTTCAGTCCTGAGTCCAGAGTCCAGAAGAGACCCCGTGCACCACCAGGGGTAGCCCCACCCCCTCCAATAAGATGGCCATAAATGTGTGCGGTTCACTTTTTTTTTTTTTAAACCGGAGATGATAATTTTTCTTCCTCTTTGTTCTCATCTCGCCCTTTTCCGCCCTATTCTGTAAGTACTCTATAATTTGTCATGGCTTCAACTTTTTGTGAAAGGAATCTAAGTGCTAGGTTTCCCCTCTTGTTTCATTACGCTGACAGTCAACTGATAACCGTGTGTCCATGAAATTCATTTTCTTCGATGTTTCAGTTCTGCTGAATGACCAGATCAAATGTTGACCCTCTTTTCAATATGTATGTTTTCAAAATATCCGGTGATTTTCCTTTTCTTTTGCTCACCAGCTGTATTGGAAGGTGGAGGGGCCAAGGAGGGGGTTTGGGGTTGGGGGGGTGGAAACAAGACCGCTGGCCCCACTTGGACCCTGAGAGGCAGTTTGTGAGTCTTACAAGTATCTTGATAGGGGGCCGGAGTGATAGTCCAGCGGGGAGGATGTTTGCCTTGCATGTGGCCGACCTGGGTTTGATCCCCCATATCCCATAGGGTCCCCCAAGCACCACCAGGAGTAATTCTTGAGTGCAGAGTCAGGAGTAACCCCTGAGCATCGCTGGATGTGACCCCCTCCCAAAAAAAAATCAAACAAAGTATCTTGATAGTCAAGGGTTCCTACTAGCAGTGTCCTAGGTGTTGCAATAGAAGTGCCCTTGGAGCAGGCTTTTGATTTGGTGTTTTAGGCCACATCCGGTGGTACTCGGGGCTTGCTCCTGGCTCTGTGCTCAGGGATCACTCCTGGAGGTGCTCCAGAGGCCCTGTGGGGTGCTGGGGATTGAAGCCAGCCACTGGCAAGGCAAGCGCACAGCCCACTGCATAATACTCCAGCCCAGATTTTTTCCCCCTCTGATGATTTTTTTTTTAAATTGATTCTGAAGATCGAACCCAGGTCTCACACATGCAAGGCGAGGACTCTACACTGAGCTACATGGCTCGCCTTTAACAGATGTTTACCCAATATTAGTTAGACTTAGAGTAAGGGAAAAGAGTGCCAGGAGACAGGAACGTGTTTCGGCCTCCAGAAACCAAACTGGATGGATGGATGCAGCGTGAGGACTGCCTGGTGCACAGGCTGCCTCGGTGGGTCCTGTCAGAGACATCCATTGAGACTGGCCAGAAACTGTGGGGAGCTCCTGAGCACTGTGGCGACAGCACTGCGGTACTGACGTGTGCTTCTCCAAGAGGAATTTTTTTCTTTTTTCTTTTTTTCTTTTTGGGTCACACCCAGCGATGCACAGGAATTACTCCTGGTTCACGCACTCAGGAATTACTTCTGGCGGTGCTTGGGGGACCATATGGGATGCTGGGAATCGAACCTAGGTCGGCTGCGTGCAAGGCAGACGCCCTACCCGCTGTGCTATTGCTCCAGCCCCCACCAAGAGGAATGTTTAGGTCCAGATAGGATGCTTATGAGTAGGAAAAACAGCAGGGAAAATGGTCATTTCATCTCCTGTGCTTCGTAGGACTTATTTCTGCCTCATGTCGACCTACTAAGCAAGTTTGTTTAGGCTCAGTAACAAAGGCGAGAGACTCTTCGTAGGGAAAATGAAAGTTTGGTCAGCTCACGCTCCAGCTTAGACTGAAAGTCCTAGTTCAGACTTAACACGAGCGGATCAAGTAGATTGCTTCTGCGCATTTAGAATTTGCAACAAAACAAGAGCTCAGAGAAAGTGTCGCTTTTGATGTGTCTGGAGGCGCCTAAACATGGCAATTACGGGGCCTCTCTTTAGTACTCGGCTGTTCAGGTCAGGATGCTTTGATTACACCGTGTTTAGTGAAATCGTCCCACTTGCCCAGGCTTGATGAAAGGAAATGAGTGGCGTCAAGACGGGGCGTTAAGACACACCTGGTTTCTCCACTATTAAAGGTCTTAAGTGCTGGAGGGCCAGAGAGAGAGAGAGAAAGAGAGAGAGAGAGAGAGAGAGACAGAGAGAGAGACAGAGAGACAGAGAGTACTGGGTGTAAGGCACTTGCCGGATTCAAATCCCCAGCGTCACATATAATCCCCCCAAACTCCTGAGCACAAAGTCATGTGTGGCCCCAACACCTCCCTCCAAGCCCCCCAAAAGAGAAGTACTTGAGAATGTTAATTATGTCTCAAAAGTTTCCACATACGTCTGTGTGTGTGTGTGTGTGTGTGTGTGTGTGTGTGTGTGTAGGTGGGGGTAGGGAACCACACCTGGCAATGCTCAGGGATTACTCCTCCTGGCTCTGTACTCAGGAATTATTCCTGGCAGTGCTTGGGGGGGACCGTAGGGGATGTCAGGGATCAAACCCAGGTCGACCGCATGCAAGGCTTATATCCACTGGACTATCGCTCCAGCCCAAGTTTCACATTATTGAGGAGGTTTCAGGGTTTGGGTAGGGTGAGGGGGTGGGCGTGGTTTATTCTCGGTGCCAGAGTATTTTCCAGTTTTCTGCGGAGAACAGAATGAGTGGAAGAAAAGCAGGATTCAGTGAAGTAGCTGTGGAAAATACTTATCCATGACTGTCCAAGGTATTCTAGCCAAGTTTACTCTTACTCTGCTGTGTTGCAATATAGTACAATAATAGCATTTTTACAGGAAAGAGTAAGTCGGTGAAAAAAATTCAAACTTTTCATAATGGTTTTAGGCCTTTTATGTAGAATTTTTTTAGATGTAGATGAATGTTATAAAATACCAATTATGTTCTAGTGTTTTATTTCATAAAGCCAGAGCTTAAGAATAGGTGGGTGTTCGGGGCTGGAGCGATAGCACAGCGGGTAGGGCATTTGCCTTGCATGCAGCTGACCCGGGTTCAATTCCCAGCATCCCATATGATCTCCAGAGCACTTCCAGGAGTAATTTCTGAGTGCAAAACCAGGAGTAATAACCCCTGTGCATTGCCGGGTGTGACCCAAAAAGAAAAAAAAAAAACAATAGGTGGGTGTTCAGCCAGTGCCAACCATCTCAGTAAATTCTCACATAGTCCCTTCAGTGGCACCATTATGAGATAAAACAATTATTAAAAATTAACTTTTATTGATTTTTTTTTGATAATTCCATTTGCCTTTGTGCTGTAACAAGTAAAAAGTTAATTATCTCGTGCCTGCAAGGGGGCAGGCTGGGCTGGTTGGTGGGAAACTGGGGACATTGGTGGAGGCAAGGTCAGACTGGTGGTGGGATTGGCGTTGAAACATTTAATGCCTGAAACAACTACATTATAGGTAACTTGGCAAGGTATGGTGTTAAAATTAAAAATAGGTGAATGCAGGTCAAACACAGCTGACCCTGGTTTGATCCCTGGCATTACAATTGTTTCCCTCTGCTGGCAGGAGTGATCCGTGAGCACAGAGCCAGGAGTCACGGCGGAGCACTGTTGGGTGTGACTCCAAAATCATATATACATATGTGTATATATATGATTTATATATAGTATATGGCATACATAGGTATTTATATGTAATCGAAATTTTAGAACCAGAAAGGAAAATGGAGCACCTTCAGGATGGAAGTAAATTTTTTTTTTTTTAAATAAATGAATCGGGGCTGGAGTAATAGCACAGCGGGTAGGGCCTTTGCCTTGCACGCGGCTGACCCGGGCTCAATTCCAGCATCCCATATGGTCCCCTGAGCACCACCAGGGGTAATTCCTGAGTGCAGAGCCAGGAGTAACCCCTGTGCATCGCCAGGTGTGACCCAAAAAGCCAAATAAATAAATAAATGAATGAATAATTTAGGTGTTTAAGTGATAGTACAGTGTGTCGGGCATTTGCTGGCCCAGGTTCGGTCTCCAGCATCCCAGAAGGTGCTCCCAAGACTGCCAGGAGTGATCCCTGAGTGAGGAGCCAGGAATAAGCCCAGAGCACCTCTGGGTGTGGCCCCCAAAACAAAACCAAAGAAAGAAAAGAAGTAGATCATTTAAAAAAATTTTGTAGCTCCAAAACAACAAAGAAAAAAAAGATCATTAAAACTATTTTCAAAATTAAGTCACCGTGAGATAAACAATTACAGAGTCGTTCATATTTGAGTTCCAGTCACACAGTGTTAAGCACCCATCCCTCCACCAGGGTCCCCAGTGTCTCTCCTGTCCCCCCACCCTGCCTCTGTGGCAGACACCTTTTTTTTTTTTCTTTTTGGGTCACACCCAGCGATGTTCAAGGGTTGCTTCTGACCCTGCACTTAGGAGTCACTCCTGGCAGTGCTTGGGGACCATCTGGGATGCTGGGGATCGAACCTGGGTCCACTGTGTGCAAGGCAAATGCCCTGCCCTCTATACTAGCTCTGGCCCCGACACTGTTTGTTTGTTTGTTTTCCCTTTTGGGCTTTGTGGTTTGCAAAACTGTTACCAAAGGGTATCATGCATACCCCTTTACCTCCTTTCAGCACTCAGCTCCTGCCCGGAGTCACTGCTTCCAGTCCTGTCACTGCCATAGTGGCCCTTCTCTGTCCTAACTGCCCTGCCCCCATTGTGGCGAGCTTCCTACTAAGGCCCCATCCTGCCAGCCTTGGTTTCTATTGTTCTTTCGTGTATTATTCTCCTACTATGTTTCTTTTTTTTTTTTTGGCTTTTTGGGTCACACCCAGCGATGCACAGGGGTTACTCCCGGCTCTGCACTCAGGAAACACCCCTGGCGGTGCTCAGGGGACCATATGGGATGCTGGGAATCAAACCTGGGTCAGCCACGTGCAAGGCAAACACCCTACCCACTGTGCTATCGCTCCCTACTATGTTTCTTTATATCTCACAAATGAGTGCGATTACTCTCTGTCTGCCCCTCTCTCTCGGACTCATTTCACTCAACATGATGCTTTACCCATGTATCAGAAAATTTCATGACTTGATTTTTTTTTTTTTCCTGACAGCCGTGTAGTATTCTCTTGTGTAGATGCGCCATCGCTTCTTTATTCATTTGACTCTTTTTGCACACTAGGGTTGTTTCCAGATTTTGGCTCCAGTGAATATTGCTGCAGTGAACATAGAAGTGTGGTTGCCTAGAGCTGGAGCGGTAGCACAGTGGGTAGGGCGTTTGCCTTGCACAAGGCTGACCCGGGTTTGATTCCCAGCATCCCATATAGTCCCCCAAGCACCACCGAGAGTAATTCCTGTGCAGAGCCAGGAGAAACCCCTGAGCATTGCTGGGTTTGACCCGAAAAGCCAAAAAAAAAAAAAGAACTGGGAACTGATTTCTGCCTTGTTTGATAGTATGAGCATTCCAAAATCGTAGTTTTTACAAAATATAAAGTTGGGAAAAGTAAAAATGGCAGCAGAAAGTTAACAAAAGATAAAAGGGTTTGGTTTCTTGATTGAAGGTGGTAATTTGATGCTGTGTGTGTGGTTATCATTTTCTCATCAGACAAACCTGTCTCACGCTAGTAAATCTTATCTGTTCATCTGCACTTAGAATTTCCCTTGATGCTTGCATAATGCTTTATTTATTTTTAATTCTAAAAATGAAAAAAAAATCTTTTGTGGGGCTGGCGTGATAGTACAGTAGGTAGGGTGCTTGCCTTAAACATTGCCAGGTGTGGCCCTAAAATAAAAACACATCTTTTTTTTGACTTAGGATCACCCCAGCAGTGCTGGAGGCTACTCCTGGCTCCGCACTTGGGAAGAAGCATGTGGGTACCCAAAATTGAACCCAGCCCTTTGAGCCAGCCCACCTGCCCCTGACATAAGGGGTAATTAGCAGACTTGAAGAGTAAGTTAAGTGACTTGCTTAGATCTTAATAAAATTAGTGGGCTGTAATGACCCCATGTACGCAGTCGAAGTTTGCTAGAACTTGCTGCAAAAAAGAAGTATCTCGAAGGTGAAATTTTGTCTTTGAGAGGAAACGAGTCAAGACCAGGGGCTATTTCTGCTGTGAAACGTTATGCACGACTTTTCACCTCTGCGTCTTCATCATGAAAGTATGACAGATAAGAGTACCCAGTTCACAGGGTGGTTGAGAAGAAGAAAGAAAAGATTGTCTGAAAATACATAGCTCTTGGGTCCAGAATGTGATCAGTCAGTGCATGGTTCGAAAGAAAAGAATTGGGGCTGGAGCAATAGCACAGCGAGTAGGGCATTTGCCTTGCACGCGGCCGACCCGGGTTTGATTCCCAGCATCCCATATGTTCCCCCGAGCACCGCCAGGAGTAATTCCTGAGTGCAGAGCCAGGAGTGACCCCTGAGCATCACCGGGTGTGACCCAAAAAGAAAAAAGTAAAAAAAAAAAAGAAGAGAATCCCTTGTGTGTACAAAGCTTTGTTCTGTGCATCTGTCTTGTTTGGTTTTGTTCGGGGGGCCCCATGTAATGGTACTCAGAGCTCACTCCTGGCAGTACACAGGGGACCATACCTGGTGTGGGGATCACGCTCAGGCTGACCACTGCAAGCCCAGCGCCTTAGCGCTGTCCATCTCTTCAGCCCTTGTGTTTATCTTATCCTCTGAGTTTGCAATCTCCTTAGATTCTCTTTGGAATACAGACATCAGGATGGAATACAGACACACAGGGGCTGGAGCAATAGCCCAGCGGGTAGGGCGTTTGCCTTGCATGTGGTTGATCCGGGTTCGATTCCCAGCATCCCATATGGTCCCCTGAGCACCGCCAGGAGTATTTCTGAGTGCAGAGCCAGGAGTAACCCCTGAGCATTGCCAGGTGTGACCCAAAAGAGAAAAAAAAAAAAAGCAGACACATAGACATCTCTGGAAGACAGGCATTCAGGATGATCAGAGATACTTATTGAACTGAGTGCATTCTTATCACATGGAAGGTCTGAGTTCAGTTCCAGCACTGTATGGTCCCCGAGCACTGCCGAAGGGACCCCGAGGCCAGAACCAAAAGGGACTCCTGAGCACCTCCTGGTGTGGACCAAAAGCAAGTCCCCCCATTTCCACTCCCGAAAGAAATAGAAGACCTGTTTCCTGGAGGTTGCTCAGAGGGAGAGAGCACATGCTTTGGAGTCCTGGGTTTGATCTCTGGCACCACATGCAAATGGGAGTGACCTCAAGGCACTACCTGGTGTGGCCCAGAAAACCAACCAAGTGAGCCAACAGCCAGACTTCCACCCTCCGTGTGAACAGCTCCAGAAACTGAGGCGGTGCAGAGGTGCAGTGAACTGGCTCAGGGGAACAGACATACCGGAAGGGTGGAGCTGGTCTGCTCTGAGGGTTTCAGTGACTTTCTCCCTTTGTGTTATACAGTGACTTCGAAGATGAGTCTTTGAGGCTGCGACAGCTGAAACTGGACAATCAGGTAAGCCTGACCTCTCTTTTGGATATCCTTGTTTGTTTGTTTGTTTGTTTTGGGGGGGCCAGGTTTACTCCTGGCTCTGCACTCTGGAATTGCTCCTGGCAGGGCTCAGGGGGCCAGGCAGGAACCCAGGTCAGCTGCGTGCAAGGCAAATGCTGTGCTATCGCTCTGACCCTACTGCATTTCTTTTGAAATCAGTTCCCTGTGCTGCACGCTGCCGCTGATGAGGAGGGTCTTAACTAGGGCTCTGGTGGGGCCAGGAGAAGGAGCCTGGTGAGGGAACAGCTCAGACGTTCCTGAGCACTGTCTGGGGTTAATATGCTGAGCTGAGACTCTGGGGTCTGAAATGATCAAAGGGCACTGGGACCATCAGCGATGAAACCACTGAAGATTCCCTGGCGCCTTTCCGAAGAATTCAGAGAATGTGTTCACGTGGCGTTTCTGTTGTAGTCATTTGGCTCTGCTGCTTTAGATGTCTCTCCGGAGTGTAATTCCATCCAGCGGCGAGGCTGTGTCTTGATCCTCACAAGACAGACCCGAACTCGGTGCTGTTTTGCTCACGAGCCTCTCTGGCCTGCTGAGTCCCTTCCTCCACAGCCTCGCCAGTCCCGAGAACAGAAGCAAGACTGTTGATGATCACCGTCACATCAGAAGTTTCTCGCTGAGTGTCCTGGGCTTCATAATCTTCATGAAATATTTGGGGTTTGTGGTGGTGGCGGTCGTTTTGGACCACACTTGGGGATGCGGGTTACTCCTGGCTCTGCACTCAGGAATTACTCCTGGCAGGTTTGGGGGATCATCCAGGACGCCAGGAATTGAACCTGGATTAGCCACATACATTCAAACGCCGTACCCGCTGTGCTACCACTCGGACCCTCATTAAATATTTGAATGAAGGAGCAATAGTGTTATCAGTTAATAACACTGGATGGTGTGATCACCATGCAGTCCGCTGAGTGTCTGTGCCTGACCCGTGTTGCTCTCTCATTTACTTTTTCATGTGAGTGCTTTCTGATCCTGGGATTTCCATACCTTTGTCTACCCTGGGAAGACCGTCCACGAAGTTTCTTGGTGTCCGATCATGCCATGACAGTTTTGTCTTGCTTTTTTTTTTAATCTTTTTTTTTTTTATCTATTTATTATTATTATTATTGGTGTTGTTGTTGTTATTGCTTTTGGGGTCACACCCAGCGATGCACAGGGTTACTCCTGGCTTTGCACGGTTCTCGGGACCACACGGGATGCTGGGAATCGGACCCAGGTTGGCCATGTGCAAGGCAAGCACCCTACCTGCTGTACTATTGTTCCAGCCCCTTATTTTTTTTTATATATATATATTTTTGGCTTTTGGGTCACACTTGGCGATACTCAGGGATTATTTCTGGCTCTGCACTCAGGAATCACACTTGGTGATGCTCAGGGGACCATATGGGATGCTGGGATTAGAACCCGGGTCGGCTGCGTGCAAGGCAAATGCCCTACCCCCTGTGCTATCGCTCCAACCCCTTATCTTGCTTCTTCTTGTTGCTCAGGGACTTCTAGCCTGATAGGTGACTTGAATGATTCCACAGGAGAGAAGGTTGGGGCTGAGTCCCGCAGACCCACGGACCTGTGCCCGTGCAAGTTTCCAGCTCTAGGAACTGTGTGGGTGCCCTTGGTCACGTGCTGCTGCGTGCCTGGGGTGCGGGAGATAGTCATCACTTTCCAGGCCTTCAGGAGTGGCACCCAGGGCCTTCACTGGCCCCCAGAATGGTCCATCAGGGTCAGTTCTGTAGGTCCTGCTGCCTTATGAGATAGGCGGGGTATCTCTGCAGATGGAAAAGTCGCTCCTTCTCTGCCTTGCTCTGCCCTTTACCAGGCGAATGTCCCCTTCCAGGGACAGAAGAGAAATCAGTGTGCCGAGGTTTTTGGTGGCCCGTCAAGTAGTGGTCATAACCCAGGGGCCACTCCCAGCAACCCTTGGCCAGCCAGCCAGGTTCTTGGAATCGGGGCTCGAGAATGTGGACCCTCAGGGTGGCTCTCTGCGACCAGGTGGTGTAAGGATCAGACTTGGGGCCGGGTGCCATGTGACTTGGCCCTGGGCTCTGAAGGTTTGGTGTGTGTGTGTGTGTGTGTGTGTGTGTTTTCTTTTGGGTCACACCTGCAGGGGGCTACTCTCGGCTCAGTACTCAGGACTGCTCCTATCCTTTGGTCTTTGGCACTGCAAAATGCCCTGAGTACCATCTTGTGTGGACCAAAATACTAAAAGGAAAACAAACAAAACTGGCCCCGGAGCCAGAACGCAGCGGGGAGGGCCTTTGCCTTGGATATGGCCAAGCTGGATTCGATCCGTGGCACCCCAGGGTACCTTGAGCACCTGAGTGATTCCTGAGTGCAGAGCCAAGAGTAACACTCCCCCATCCCCCCCCCCCCCCACACACACACATACCACTCAGTATGGCCAAAACGAAACAAAATGATAAAAGTGGGGGAAAAAACCCAATCCACAAAAATCTGGGGGCTGGGTCTCTAGCTCAACTCGTGATGAATTGCCTCACATGTGTAAGAACCCGGTTCGATTCCTGGAGCTGCAAAAGTAAATAAAAAAATAATAGCAACATACTTGGGCAGAGCTTTGATTTTATTTCTTTATTTATTTTTGCTTTTTGGGTTACACCTGGCGATGCTCAGGGCTTACTCCTGGCTGTGCACTCAGGAATCACTTCTGGCAGTGCTCGGGGATCCTATGGGATGTCGGGCATCGAACCCAAGGCAAATGCCCTCCCGGCTGTACTGGGGCCCTCTGTCTCTCTGTAAGGCCAGCTCAGGCATCCCCGAGTTCAGTCCTTAGGGACTCTGCTGTGGCATGTCACCGTCGTCGAGAGTCACTGGTTCATGGTCTCTGTGGGATTAGACCAGCACCCATCAGTGTCTTAAGGATCGGTTCATACTAACAGATAGCAAGGGCTGGACTGGAGCCATAGCACAGTGGGGAGGGCATTTGCCTTGCACATGGCCGACCCGTATGATTCCCCCCACCCCCCCACCCCCGACTGCCAGGAGTGATTCCTGAATGCAGAGCCAGGGAGTGTACCCCTGAGCATCACTGCATCACTGGGTGTGACCCAAAAAGTAAAAAACAAAACAAAACACCAAAAAGACTAATATTAAGGGCTGAAGCTAAATTGGGGAATTAGTTAGTTTCTACTAAACTGTGCCCCTGAATCCACTGGCCGGCACAGGTCACAGGGAATGACTAGAGGGAAGCCTCGCTCCAAGAAGGAACTGAGTAATTTAGTGTGTGTGTGTCTGTCTGTCTGTCTTTCTGTCTCCCTGTGTGTGTCTTTGTCTGTGTCTGCGTGTCTGTGTGCGCATCTCATCAGATACCCTGTCTTATGTCTTGATTTATTCTTAACCATGTGCTTTTTTTATTATTATTAATTTATTTTTTTAGTTCTTTTTTTTTTATTAGTGAAACACCTTGAGGTACAGTTGTAAGCTTTTTTGTGCTTGGGTCTCAGTTATACAATGATCAAGTACCCATCCCTCACCAGTGCCCATTTTCTACCACCACGGATCCCAGTATCCCTCCCACCCCCCATCCCACCCTGCCTCTGTGACAGGGCTTTTCCTACTGTTCTCTCTCTCCTTTTGGGTCCTGTGGTTTGCATAAGACACATTGAGTGGCAATCGTGTTTGGTTTATAGTCTACTTTCAGCATGCTTCTCCCATCCTGGGAGGATCCTCCCAACACCCTTTATTTGGTGCTCCCTTCTCTATCTGAGCTTCCTTTTCCCCTAGCATGTGTGGCTGGCCTCCAAGCCATGGAGCAAAATTCCCGGTACTAATCTCGGCCACTCTTGGGGCTGGAGCAATAGCACAGCGGTAGGGCGTTTGCCTTGCACGCAGCCAACATGGCCGACCCGAGTTCAATTCCTCCGCCCCTCTCGGAGAGCCCGGCAAGCTACCAAGACTATCTCGCCCGCCCAGCAGAGCCTGGCAAGCTACCCGTGATGTATTTGATATGCCAAACACGGTAACAACAAAGTCTCCAATGGAGACGTTACTGAGCCCGCTGGAGCAAATCGATGATCAACAGGAGGGCCTTTACTTTTACTTTTTAATCTCGGCCACTCTTAGGTGTTAGTCTCCTATTTTGTTACTTTATGTTCCCCAGATGAATATCCCTCTCTTTCTGACTCATTTCGCTGAACATGATACTTTCCGTGTAGTACCACTTGTATGTAAATTTCATGACTTCATCTTTTCTAACACCTACATAGTACTCCATTGTGTAAATGTACCAAAGTTTCTTTAACCAGTCATCTGTTCTCGGGCACTCAATAACCATGTACTTTTATACCTATATAAATCAGAAAGTGGCCTGGTAAGTTTGAAATCACAGTGAGTGGAGTCTGTAAGTTGATCTTTGGTAGGCGTCATTAATGTATGATGGCCTGATCAATTCACCTCTACTAAAGGCCGCGAGCTGCCAAGGGAATGGGATACGGGAGTATCTGGCCTGAACACTTGCCCTACACAGACACTGGATACTCCCAGGAGATCTCACTCCTTGGTTTTCTGTTGCCTGATATCCCTAGAGACCGTTGCCCTTCCCATTCACATATTTTTTTCCATCATCCAGGTAACAGTATTGTTTAGATTTTTTTCCGTATCCTTTTTTTTTCTTGCAACAAAATCTTAGAATTTAATGTTTAAAAAAATTTTTTTTCTTTCTGAGTCACACCCGGAGATGCACAGGGGTTACTCCTGGCTCATGCACTCAGGAATTACTCCTGGCGGTGCTCAGGGGACCCTATGGGATGCTGGGAATTGAACCCGGGTCAGCCGTGTGTGAGGCAAATGCCCTATCTGCTGTGCTATTGCTCCAGCCCCAAATGTTTAAAATTCTTAAATTTTTAGGACCTGGATATGCCTTTTGTGGTAGAGTATAAGCCTGTTTTGTGTATGGTCCTGGGTTCGATCCGAGGCCCCAAGTCCCGTCAATTTTTCGTGGCTCACGG